TTTTTGGGATAAATTGAAATTGATCATGTTGTTTAATAATTTTTATATGTTGCTGTATTCAGTTTAAAAGACCCATTTGATGACTCACATTTCTCTGAGACTCTCTTCATTTTTCTTCATTATTTTTCCCTCTGTTCTTCATCTTACATACTCTGTATTTATCTATCTGCAAGTGTGCTTATTCTTTCTTTTCCAGATGAAACCTACTAGTTGAACCCCTCTCATGAATTTTTTATTTCAGTTATTTGCTTGTACAATTCAAGAATTCCCATTTAGTCTTTTTTATATCTGTTTAATGAGACAAAGAATATCAATTGTTATTAATTCTTCATTCTTTAAACATTCTTTCCTTTAGTTCTTTAACAATATTTGTAAGAAATCTTTGTTAAATTTAATCTGGTCACTTTTCTGGGCAGTTTCTTGCCCAATTTTGTTCTTATTTATTGGTTATACCTTCTTGTTTCTTTGCATATCTTATAACTTTTTGTTGAAAACTTGGTATTTTGGAAAATCTAACCAATTTGGATGCTGATCTAATCCCCCCTGTGGGTTTTTGTTCTGTTCTGTTTTCTGGTTTTTGTTTTTGTTTTTTTGCTGTTGTTATTTACCTAATTTTTGTTTCATTTACAGTGTTATCTCCCTAAAATCTCATATATAGAACCTATCTTCTGGATGTACTAAATGACATTGGGCTAACCTTACGTATCATGTTCTGCTTCACTACTTTGGAAAAAGGGTTCCAGCCACATAGAATGTTATAATCTATCCTCTTCACTTTGCTACCTCTTTTCCATCCATAGGCCAAAAGCAAAATTAAAATCATCACTAATTATATGAAGCCTTTCTGACTGTCACCCTTTTCCAGATCCTACATTTAGTCACTCACCCCAACTATATTCCAAGAGTATCATACGACTATCTATAGTACTCTAATTGCATACTTTCCTCATTACAGTGAGTGAGTTCCTTGAGCACAGAAGCTTTGCAGTTTTCTTATTCCATCGTTATAGTCTAGTAAGAGGTCTTGTTATTAATTAATTAATGTATTTTCCATAAGTAAGATGAGGGTGTGGAAAACATATACAGAGAAGAGATGCCTAAAAAGCACATCAATAAAAATGGTCCTTCATTCTGAATATTAACCTACATATTAAAACTGTACCATTTTATCTGTCCTACCTTATGCTTGTACTTGAGCTAAAAATGTCAAATAAAGTCTTCCAGGGTCGTCAAGCAGACCAGTCACAGCAACCTCCACTGGACAACATAACACAAGAAGACAAATACCCATCTGAAAATACGACTTTCTCAGAGAAAACGTTCAGCACAGGTATATACATATGGCTTAAAGCCTGAGAACAAAGATTTTTCTTGTCTGTTGCCTTTTACCACCCAATATGCTGTTCAAATTTTCTTGCAGATTAAACTAATTTTGTAATCCAACTCTTATTCTGATTTAGTTGAAACAAATTCATAAAATAAAAAATCAGAAGTTAGATGTTTTCTATGTGCATAATACTGAATTTAAGTCAATAGTTTTCAAAAATAGTACTTTTTCTACAAAAAAAAAAAATCTAAGCCTCCTTGAACATATTCCGTAAGGCTCATTGTATCCTTTAATATGTGTATGTTGTTTAGATACTAAGCTGAGATCTGCTCTGTACCTACAGATTTTACTCAGTCTAGAGAACATAAAGTAGGTGACTGCATCTTCACAACCCGGTAAAGGTTATGAGGGAAATTACTAATCTTGTCATAAATTATTCCCAGAAATGTTTAATAATAGTGTGTACGGAATTGGAGGGACAGAAGTAAATGTGACTCTCTTCCCAGTTTCAGGCTCTTTCCAGAGAGCAGAAATGAAGCCCGGAAGTCCCATAAAATGAAATGTTTTTAGGAGGACTGGAGAAGGATTCTTGAGTCTCTCGGGCAAAAAGTGTTTCTCTCGGGACGCACACCGAGTTGTCTCTCATAATCTCTTTTGTTTTCAAGGAAAGGAAATCAGCACATGTAAATCTAAATGGTCATGTGGTGGAGAGAATTGTTATCATTTTTCACATGAACTGATGACATTTGAAGAGAGTAAGAAATTCTGCAAGGCAATGAACTCCAAACTTCTTAAAATAGAAGATAAAGAAGAACTGGTGATGTATATTTTCTGCTTTCCATCATATACTTTAAGTGGCTGCCCATTTGTTGGTAGCTAATTCTT